GTAGCTGCTCACCTGGCATGGGTGCGGCCCAGCCCGGGTTCGATCCTCGATCCTCAGCACCACATGCAAACAAAGATGTTGTGTCCGCCAAAAATTAAAAAATAAATATTAAAATTCTCACTCTCTCTCTCCTTCTCTCTCTCTCACTCTGTCTTTAAAAAAAAAAAAGTCTCAAAGATTAAAAAAAAGGGGCCTGTGGATTTGGCTCCCTAGTAAAGAACCTCTGTGTTCAATCCCTGGTAACAAAACAAAACAAAAATTTAAAAAGAAACTTCAAGTGATTATATGAAAACCCTAAATCCAAATCTCCTTGAATTAAATGTAAGTAACCTATTAACTTAAAAAAACAAACCCATTGATTGACCCTTCCCAAAGGAATAGGTCATACACTGGGGTGGGGGTGGGGTGGGGGTGCAACAGGGGTATAGTAGCTAAAAATATGGGTTTAAAGTTACTTCATACTAATCTGAGTTAACAGTTTTAGTATATCCAGCAGTGTGATCTTGGACAAGGACTTCACCTCAGCCTGCGTTTCCTTGTCTGTGAAGTAGGAATGATGCTCTCCGTCTCATGACATAACTGAGGATTTAAAGAGGGCTGTCCAGAGCTGGGTGCAATGGCATACACCTATGATCCTAGCAGCTTGGGAGGATGAGGCAGGAGGCTCACAAGTTCAAGCCCTGTCTCAGCAATTCAGTGAGGCGCTAAGCAACTTAGTGAGACCCTGTCTCAAAATAAGAAATACAGGACCTGGGCTGGGATTGTGGCTCAGTGGTAGAGTGCTCGCCTAGCATGCATGAGTCACTGGGTTTGATCCTAAGCACTGCATCAAAATAAATAAATGTATTGTGTCCACCTACAACTAAAAAAAAAATTAATATATATTAAAATATGTATAATATAATATATATAAAATAATATATATTAAAATATGTTTATATATTTAATATATATATTAAAAAAATACAGGGACTGTGGTTGTAGCTCAGTGGCAAAGTGTGAGGCACTAGCATGTGTGAGGCACTGGGTTCCATCCTTAGCACCACATAAAAATTAATAAAGGCATGCTATCCATCTACAACTACAAAACAAAGGTTTAGGGATGTGGCTCAGTGGTTAAGTGCCTCTGGAAAAAAGTTTCCAAACATCCCAGGACATAAAGATACTGTGTTCATAGTGACAAACTGCTTGATACCTTATGTGTATCAGTCTGTGGTCACCAAGCATTTGTGGAGAGTCTGCTTGCTTAGATACTAGGCTGAGTGCAACACTAGAGAGTTACAGGGGCACAAAACTATGAAATTAGTCTTCACTTAAAAAATAACAATTTAGGCTGGGACATAGCTCAGTGATAAAGCATTTACCTGGGTTCAATCCCAGTAAAGGTTTTGATCTAAAAAAGTAATGTGGACTATAGAATCTGCAAGATAGAATCTCTGTGGAGGCAGAGGCCCACAGCAGCCTTGAATTTGTGATCCTTCAGCCTCAGGCTTCTGAGTAGTTAAAATTATAGGTGTGAGCCTCCACACCTTGCTCCCAGTCCCTTGCTAAAAACTTTTCCATTCCCCCTAAAAGTATCGTCCTGTCAAATTTCCCCCTTTTTCTTTCTTCTTCTATCTCCTTCTCTCCCCTTCTCCTTTCTTTATACCCCACTCCTTTTTCTTTTTTGGTACTGGGGATTGAACCCAGGGGTGATTCACTTAAGCCACATCCCCCGAAGTATCTTTTTAATTTTTTTATTTTGAGACAGCATCTTGCTAAATTGCTTGGGGCTTTGCCAAGTTGCAGAGTCTGGCTTTGAACTTGTGATACTCCTGCTTTAGCCTCCCTTCCCCCTTCTGCTACTGTTTCCCTCTTTCTTTTCTCTTTCCAGTGCTGGGAATGGGGCACAGGGCCTCAGGCTACTAGGTAAGCACTTTAACTCTGGGTTACATTCCAGCCTCCTCCAGCCAGCTTTTTAAGGTGATATTTTGTATCAGTTGATTATTGATTTGCAGACAGAAAGCAAATTAAAAATATCTTTTTGGAGACTCTTTATACAGCTAGTATTGTTACAGCAAGATACAAACCAGAGTGAGGTAGATAAAATGTTGTTTTAAAAGATCAGCCTGTAACTACAGAAATCTATAGCGTACAATTATTTCATGCTGTGACTTCTCTAAAAGGCTCTAAGTATCATAGAGCCCAGCATGCACAGAAAAATGTTTCACTGGGCAGGCACAATACAAAAGGCCTGAGATATAAAACTATCATGAATCAAAATTGTTAATGTGACAGCCCTAATCATGTGGGGAAGATACTGAATATAAAGCAAACATATCTGGAGGAGTGGGTGGAGGCTGGGGCAGGAGGATGTCAAACTTGAGGCCAGCCTGGGCAACTTAGCAAGACCCTGACTCAAAATAAAAAATAATAAATGGTTGGAGGGGCTGAGGTTGTGGCTCAGTGTTAGAACATTTGCCTAGTATGTGTGAGGCACTGGGTTGAATCCTCAGCAGCACATAAAAATAAATAAATACAGGAATTGTGTCCATCTACAACTTAAAAATTAAGTTTGGGGATGTAGTTCAAAGGTAGAGTGCCTCTGGGTTCTATTCCTGGTAAAGGAGTGGTGTTGGTGGCGGGATAAGGCTGGATGGGTGGGGGAGGCCTGAGAGAAAGAGATCCATAATTAATTGTGTCGTCTTACAACATTTCAAGGAAGATTAAAATTCAAGCCTGAAAAGCTTTCAGGTTGCAATCTGTAGTTTTATGTACCTGAGAAATTAGTTTACAGGGCACAGCAGAACAAAATCTGAAGACTGTTTCATTTTAGGAAGCATGTGCTTGCAAATAGCAACTTGTGATGTAGCACCCTTTAAGGTTTTTTGTTTGTTTGTTTTTAAAACTACCTGGCAGATTTAAACTCAGTTGCTTGTTCACATTGTAATTCAAATAAATCAATAGTCTGACTTCTTCAGTTCTTCTTTTTTTCCTCCCTCCCCACCTTCTGCCTCCTTTCTTTTCTCCCTCCCCCCTTCTTTTTCTTATTTTTCTCTGTACTTGGGATTGAACTCAGGAGTGCTCAACCACAACTCTTTTTCAAGTACACCCCCCCCCCAAAAAAAAAATTATGTTGAGACAGGCTCTTGCTGACTTGCGAGGTTGGTTTAGAACTTGTGGTCCTCCTGCCTCAGCTGGGATTACAGGTGTGCACCACCGTGCCTGAAGAGGCACACACTTTTTTTTTTTTTTTTTTTTTTTAAAGAAAGAGTGAGAGAGTGAGAAAGAGGGAGAGAGAGAGAGAGAGAGAATTTTAATATTTATTTTTCAATATTTGGCGGACACAGCATCTTTGTCTGTATGTGGTGCTGAGGATCGAACCCGGGCCGCACTCATGCCAGGCGAGCACGCTACCACTTGAGCCACATCCCCAGCCCAGAGGCACACACTTTTAAGTGAGCAATATTGGAAGAGTTATCATATTTGCTTTTCAGAAGAAAGATCTGAATACTCACTTCAGTGCCTCTAAAACTTGGATATTCAGTGCTTTGTGGATTCTGATTTAGTTGCTTTCTCCTTGTGAGAAAGGTGGCTATTTAGAAAGACTTGTCAAGTTCCCTACTCTTGGAGCTCTGTGCCTTTTTGCTGTGGACATCTAATTTAAACAGAAGAATCTGGTGAAGAACTCCAGGGAATCTTTCTGCCAGCCCCCTACCCCTCATGCTGGATACCTTGGGTGGTCACTTAACTGCCCTATTTCAGTTCCCTCTTTGGTGAAGTGGGAGTCAAGGAGCAAGCTTATTGACTATTTTGAAGATTAAATAGTCTAGCATATGTGAAAGTTCTGGGAACCTGAGCATTCCACAAACATCTCTTTCATTTTTAAAAGTGTTCCATTGGTATCAACAGTTCATCTTTTGCAAAGTGTTGTATCTCAGGTCATTTGATTCTTCTACCTGGGGTAAGAGGAAGGTAAGGCAGGTCGTTTTACTAGCAGTGAACTGACACCCAGAGAGGTTAGTGACTTCCTCAGGCTTCAGTGTTTGCTCAGGAGACCACTGACCCACATACGTTCCCTTTCTAAAGTGCACCATTTTTCCTCTTCCTTCAAAACTTCCTAATGGGGTGGGGGTGGGGGGATTTGTTTTCCTAATGATTTCCGGAGAGAATTTCATTTACTTCAGTCTTTGTGTCCTTTAACATTTATTGTCTTCCTATTGAAAAGTATGTTCAAAGGCTTTTCTAGGCCACTGATACTTTATGGCCTGCACAGTAAGCATCCTGTAGTGCCAACCCAGGACAGTCATATGCATGCTCTTGATTGTTTTAAAGCTGACTATCAAGACTGATTACTGGCATGGCCCAATAGAATTCCCTGTTGAGCGAAAGATGAAAGAGATACCTACTCAGGCTGCAGAAGGTGTCAATTGTGTCAGGAAGGTAAAGAATTGACTATCCTGAAGCTTTAGAGATCCCCAAATAGCTCTATTTAGGACTCTATGCACAGCAGCATCAAAAGGAAAGTCATTTTAAAAAAAACTTTCAAGTTTATTATGCATACAATAAAGTACTCAAGTCCTAGGTTAATAGCTCATAGAATTGTTACAAATGTGGACATCTGCACCACTGGCGCCAGATAAAGCCATATTTATGGGACATTTCCAGAACCTCAGAGGGTTCCCTTGTGCCCCCTCCCTATCCCTGGTAACCCTTATTCTGACTTCTGTTACTAGAGATGAGTTTCATTTGTTCTTACATGTCACATAAATGGAATCATATGGTATGAATGCATTGTGTCTGGTTTCTTTCAACCTTATGCCTGTGAGATGCAGCCATGCTGTTGTGTGTAGCAGTAGTTTGCAAAGACACAAGTTTTCAAATTAAAAAAAACAAGTTAAAAACGGCCAGCTATTGTCGACGATGGGAGTCGACGGCTGTGAAGGATGTAATACAATAGATTTTAGTTAAACTTTTGAAAGAAAGAATGGGAATTTGGAACTTAGGTATGCTGGGAAGAGCCCACATAGGCAGGAATGTGGACAAGAAATCAGTGTGGAGTTGGCCAAACAGATGTAAATAAAGAATGGAATGACAGCCAGGCAGAAGGAGGGGAGGTGGGGGCAGGCGGTGATGATGTCACAGTTGGTGGAATGTTCAGCCTGCACAGTTCCTTCTCCCTGGAGTCTGTATTGGTGAGTCCCCAAATGGTAAATATCATGTCCTACTACCAGTGCCCTTGTTCTGGAAGATGACTAGGATTGTTACACATTGTATTCTGCAGGCTGTGTGGATCCATATGTTAGGAATGATGGCAGGTTTCCTAAAAGGCTGGCCAGAACCTAGTCCACAGAGGTCCAGGGCTAGTGACACTTCTGTGATATTGGAACAGTCATCTCCATCTTCTCCAGAGCTGTCTTGGAGGCCACTTAATGCCACCTTATCCCCAGAAATGGCAGTGAGAAACAGATTATTGTTCATCTCCTCTCAGTTTTTTGGTAGCATCTGCATCCCAGGAAACTAGTATTGAATATATAAAGACAAGCTTTTTATTTAACAGAGTCCTGTGAACCATCCACCTGTAAATCAGTCTTTTCTGTAATTGATATATTTAGCCAAATGGGATTTTCATCTCTGAATTGAGAGCGTGTATAAGCATGGGGTATTATACCTATTTGCCCTTTATTTATTCTTTTAACATTTCATTCTATAGTAAAGGCCACTTTAGAAGATTTCTGTTTAGGTAGCTCCTGTTTAGACTTATGGTTTTCAGTACTGGGAATTGAATCCAAGGAAACTCTGTCATTGAGCTATATATCTCCAGCCCTTTTTATTTTTCATTTTAAGGCAGGGTCTCTAACTTGCCCAGGCTGGCCTGGGCATTGCAATCCTCTTGCCTCAGTCTCCCGAGTCACTGGGATTACAGGCATGTACCCCTATGCCCGGCTCTAATCAAACTTCTTATGGAAATTTATCCCTCAGTTTTAATAGAAATAGAATTGAATTCTTTGTCATTTAAATTTTTTTTTTTTTTTTTTGTTTTGTAGGTGGACACCATACCTTTATTTATGTGGTGCTGAGGATCAAACCTACTGCCTCACACGTGTGAGGCAAGTCCTCTACCACTAAGCCTCAGTCCTAGCCCCTCCTTTGTCATTCTGAGCAAACTTTTGTCTGTGATACCTGCTTTGCACATTTTTCTCCTCTGAATACTTCTGTGTTTTCTTGTCAAACATTTTTCTGGTCTGTTTTCAAAGTCCAGTTTCTCAGAGAATCACTCCTGTTCCCCTCTTCCACTTCTATCTCAAATAGCAGCACCCTTTCCATCAATTTGAAATCATTTTATTTTCCTTTACTAAATTTATCAATAGTTGGAAATCATATATATGTGTGCTGGGATTGAATACAGGACTTTGTGTGCATGCGAGGTAAACACTCTACCAACAGCTATATCCCCAGCCCTGAAAATCATATACTTTTAAAATGATTTCTACTTCCCTTATGAGAATAGAAGCCTCCCACAAAGTAGGGTATTGGGTTTACTTCATATTTTATGTGGTCTACACCTTGCATATAGAAGGCACTCAGTATTCGTTGAATAAAAAGTTCATTTTGCATTCAGAGGCTTTGTGGGACTGGAGGAAAGGAAATCATGTCTTAAAGATGAGAAAACAGGCTCCGAGAGGTTTAGACACTAGCCATGTGATCCAGAGCAGAGTAGAGCAGTTGCCAGCTAAGGCTGGCATGACAACTACTCATAGCTAACTGTGGTTCTCAGTAGCTCATAAAGATCTGGTGACAACCACACTTGTCTGACTGCCTGAACTGCTGTTACAAGACCAAGCAAGGAGAAGTCAGGCCTACATTTTAGTCCTTCTCTGTATGTATGATGTGAACTTCTGTGACCACTGTTTCCTCTTCTGTAAATTAGAATGGAATTCTCACAGAGGTACTGTGAGATCTGCAAGTTGAAACCCACAAAGTGAGAAAAGGTCTTATGCTATGTTTTTTCTTTCTTTCCCATAGATACATACAGATTTATTTAGGAAAGCAGATATACATTCAAGGGGAGGGATACAGGCTATTTTAAGACAGAGAATTGTTTGGGGAGTTAAGTAAGAAATACACATTCTCCCTTGAATGTGTATTTCTTAGAGGAGGGATAGGCAGCTTAATCCTATATTCTAAAAGTTTGTATTTTATTAGTGAACTATTAAAAAAAATCAACCTTGTATTAAAGTGTGTTTTCTAAATATTTATATTTTTTTTTGTTATTTTTCTGTTCATTTTAACTAAAGACTACAATAGAATTTGTTTAATTTGGGCTCATAATTTTACATCAGAAGATGAACTTAGTTATTTTTGGGAAAACTGCATAATCTCTCTAATGATCCACTTGGAATGGTATACTGTCTAATCTCAGGAGGACATTTAATTTCTTCAGTAACCTCAGGGCAAGATGTTTAGGGATGCATCTATTAAATTCCACACCATCGTAATCAGTCCCCATTCATTGCTCTCATCTTGTGTAGCCCTCTGGGAAGCTTGTGTGGTATGCAGCAGGTTCCAGAAGTACAGGGACAAGAACCAAGTCATATCACAGTGACTGAAGGTGGCAGCGCTAATTTGCATCAGCTTTAACAAGCTGGTGTTGAAATTGGATGGCAGAATGCCAAGGAAGCCAAGGTCAGCACACTTTGAAATAACAAAGTGAGTCATGTAACCCAGGATTTGCACATACCCACAGGACTACCTGAGTCAACCTCACCTCCAAGGGAACACATACATCTGGGTTAGGTGCCTGGGCCCAGCTCTGTGCTATGTGTGTAGAAGAAAATGAAAGCCACGAGGAGCTCCTTGTATTACTGGGAAGACAGATATGCAAGAAAAGAAAAATTAAAGTGAATTACTAAACATAAAGTCTGTGACACAGAAACCCCATCACAAACCCCATCACAGGTAGAAGTGTAGACAGAGGTCCCGCTCAGGTGCAGTGAACAGAAAAAACCAAGCAAAGAAGCAAAACCAAAGGGAAGGAAGACCTCAGAGTGGTTTAGAACATAGGTTTGAGCTGCGTGCAGTGGCACGTACTTGGAATCCCAGTGCTCTGGAAGCTGAGGCAGGAGGATCACAAATTGGAGGTCAGCCTCAGAAGCCTTGAGAGGCCCAAAGTAACTTAGTAATACTGTGTCTTAAAATAAAAAAAAAAGGGCTAGGGGGCTGGGGTTGTAGCTCAGTGGTACAGCAGTTGCCTAACAAGGGTCAGGCACTAGGTTCAATCCTCAGCACCACATAAAACAAATTAAAAAAAAATATCCTTTTTTTGGGATGGGGGTATCAGGGATCGAAATCAAGGGCACCTGACCAGTGAGCCAGGCACATCTTCAGCCCCATTTTATATTTTTTTAGAGACAGGGTCTCACTGAGTTGCTTAGTACCTCACTTTTGCTGAAGCTGGCTTTGAACTCGCCATCCTCCTGCCTCTGCCTCCCAAGCTGCTGGGATTATAGGCGTGTGCCGTAGCACCCGGTCCACAAATAAAAAATAAAGGTTAAATAATTATTATGTTTTGATACTGAGGATTGAACCCAGGGGTGCTCAATCACTGAGCCACATCCCAGCCCTATTTTGGTATTTTTTTTTTTTTATTTAGAAACAAGGTCTCACTGAGCTGCTAAGTGCCTCACTAAGTTGCTGAGGCTGGCTTTGAACTTGTGATCCTCCTGCCTCAGGCTCCCTAGCTGCTGGGATTATAGGCCCAGCTAAGGTTAAATTCCTTTAATAAACAAAGGGGGGGGGGCGGGGAGAGCTGGGGATATGACTCAGTGGTAAAGAACCCCCGAGTTAAATCTCCAGTAACCCCTTTCCTCAAAAGAACATAGATCTGTGTTCTGGCTGTGTGACCACGGTGGGCTCCTCACCCTTTATGGGGCTCAGGTTTCATAGCTGCAAATTGAAAATAGTGACGATATGAACTTTTTCTGTTCATTCAACAAATTGTTATTTTAATGTGCCAGGCGTTGATTTCGGCACTGGGGATGCAGTGACAGATGGGCCCTTACTCTTGCAGAGTTTGCTTTCTGGGAGCAGAAGCAGACAATAAACAAAATGACAGAATGTGGTAAGTGCCACACAGAGAATGAAAACAGAGAATTAAATGAGAATGCCGGGGGAATTCCTCCAGACATGTGCCCAGAGAGGTCTCTCTGCTGAGGGGACACCATGAGGCCTGAATGACAACACAGCGAGGGATAAGGGTGCCAGGTGGGGAATGCAAAGTCTCTGGGGCCAGAAAGGGCTTGGCGTGTTGAAGGGCTGCCAGGAGGCCACTGTTGCTGGGTGGAGGAGGGCAGCCGGGTGAGTGGAGGAGTGGAGGTGGGGAAGGCAACGGCAGACCAGGTTGCTGAAGTATGATTTTTCACACAGTGAAACGCCCAGATCTTCAGTATGATCAGTTTTGATAAATGGGTGTCAAGAAGTAGAACATTTCTGTTATAATAGATAAACTATTTTCTGCTCCTTGCTGTTCAGCTTTTTCTCCCTCTGTTGGGGGATGGAAGCCCGGGCCTCATGCATGCCAGGCAGCCACTTTACCACTGAGCATGCAGGTCCCTTCTCCTTCAGGAAAACCACTGATCTTGAGTGTAGGTTAGTTTTCATATAAATGGCACTTGCACGTATAGACTCTTCTTTCATTCAGTGGATTATTTTTTAAATTCATCCGTGTTGTTGCATTCATCACTGGTTCATTTTCTTTTTATTGCTGAGCAGTATTCTGTTGTACAAAAGCGCCGTAATTTGTTCATCTCTTTGCCTATAGTGGACGTCAGGGCTGTTTCCCATAGTTTAAATATAGATTAGAAATTTTTTTCTCCCCTGGTACTGGGGATTGGACTCAGTGGCTCACATGTTGCTAGTCAAGGCCTCTACCAACTGAGCTACATCCCCAGGACTTTTAAAAGTTTTAAAATTTTGTGTGAACGGCTTGCTAAGTTGGCTAGCCTGGGCTTGAACTTGTGACCCTCCTGCCTCAGCACCCCCTAGATAGCTGGGATTACAGTTCTGTGATGCCAACTCTAGCTTCCAGATTTGCATTTTAATACAAACCATCTGGTGACTCCCCGAAGAATAAAGTGTATGGGAGAAAGTAGAAAAATCGGAAGTTATTGTAGTCTAGGTATTGATAGTGTCCTGGAGGGAGGGTAGTAGC